TAAATATATTTAAAACTTCTATATATATAATGTCGGGTTGGTTTGGTTTCGATTTGACTTTCTTTAGTTAAAACCAAACCAAACCAATTATGGTCGGGTTTTTTTTTCCAACACCAAACCAAATCAAACCAACCCATAGTCGGGTTTTTCTTTCTCGGTTTGACTCGGATTTCGGGTTGGTGCGGTTTATCGGTTTCCTTTGTACACCCCCAGTTTTCACCATCAAAATATTATTCAGAATTTTTACAAGAAGATCAAAAAAATAATAGATTATATCAAGAATTATGTACAAAGGATATGAGGATATCCTCTGGTGTCGCTCTGGTTTCCTATGAGAGAAATTTCCAATTCTTCTTTTGGGGCTTCAACTCTCACATAAAGTTCGTGTTTCGACGAGGGAAGTAATGAGGCTAGTCCCCCCAAAAGGAAGAAGTAGTCGGGGGCCCTTCCCGCGTATGTGCCTTTATTTATATTCTTTCTATTTTTGGATTAACAACGGAGAATCTTTCTAAAAATATTTTAATAAACTTTAGCTATCGAATTTTACCCTATTCCAAGGGGAGTTCGTAATATAAATCACCTCATAAAGGATAAAATGAGTATCTTAAAAATAAATTATTATTATTATTATTATATATAAAAAGATATCATTCTTTATATAACAAACTAAAACGGAAAGATTGTCAATAGATTGGGATGGAGGGAGTATTAAATACATCAGTAGCTTGAAGAATAAGGGATGTCCATGAAGGGAGAAAGCAGAGGGGTAATAGAAAGTGTGAAAAGTACAAATGATTGGTAGAGTGGCAATAACTTCTGCTACAAGGGGAGAGATATGATAGAGACATAACACCAAGTTCTAAAATAGTGAAAGAATGCATGATTTGTGTGTAAGGCAAATGTAAATGTTTATAAGGACAGTGACCCAAACTTCACCCTTTGTCTAAGCAAACTAGCACCCCTCCTTTCTCCTATAGTCTCTCTTATTTCCATTTTACCTACCATGAACCTCATCTCCACCCTCTTTTTCTCATGGGGTGGCTGCAATCCCTCTTCTCTCCATTGAAGAAGCTTTGGGTTCGTCTTCACTCTGCTCCCAAAAAGAGTATGTCCGATTTCTTGTTACACTGTTTCACTTTTTATGTAAGGTTTACTTTGTCTAAGATTCTCTATGTACACTTAGATAATTAGCTCTCATTTACAAAATTTAGGCGTTGTGGATTCTAAAATGTCTTTAACTCCATCCATACTTATTTCGTGCACATCCATATAGAATTAGAACCCGAAACACTGAGTTCTGCCCAATCCGTTAGCCTATTGTTGAATCAGAACATTAAGAAGTTCGATTGACTTGATCTTTTTACAGCCCTATACACATGCTTATATGTATTTCATCTAGAAACAACTCTGCATTTGCATATTCTTCCGTTCTCTTTTACAAAACTCTAATGTTGCTCAAGAAAAATGTGTATACTTGGTACAAAAATTTCTCATTCTTGGTTTGTCAGGAAGAGGGATATATATCCTGTACGAGGATGTTAAGTCTTGCCCTTGTGAAGATGTTCAAGTGCTTTGGTCCATACTAGTGGAGTCGCATCCACGTTCTTTGCCTCCACCAAAATGAGGGTCTTTACATAAAAGCACAAAAAAAAGGAGGGGAGATTTACAGTCACATGTACATATATTACAACACGTTTGTCCCACATAGGTTTTTTTTCCCTTCTCTTCATTCATGTTTGCATCTTCAATCTTTTGTGAGTGAGGTTCATCTTAAAGTCTTTATATTATTGAAATTATTATGTCTTTCACTTATTGTGAATATATTGTTCTTTGCAATTTGGTAAATACTTGTAAATAAGTGTGATGCGAGTGAGTTCTTGAACAGTGGAGGACAAGAAGGTAGAAGAAAAATGATCTTTGTGAAATTCAAATAGCAGACTTCAGCAGTATAGGATGGAATCTTTAAATGTTTTGTTTGTAAATAGATGACAATTTTAAGAGGTTCTGCATTCGTTTCCAAGAACAAAGAGATGTTATTGTAAAGTAGACAGACTCTCATTAGTTTAGTTACCATTTGTTGCCTTGTCAGTTTCAACAGTTAATGAGTCATAATTGATAAGGTCTTCAAAACTTATTATGAATTAAATAAAGTTGAATAGGGACTAGCTTAAGGACGTTAGACTGTCCTGTGATTTTCATTTTAGACATACTTCCTCATGTGTAAGAGCAAACTCCTTTCTTTTACTCCCACTATCCCACATTAAAATTTATACTCTATTGACTAAGGACACGTCTGCAACCACCTAACTTTTTGATCACTAAAGAATAAACACATGTGAAACCACCATTTATTTTTTTGATTATTTAAGAATAAAATAAAGAAAACGTGGTAAGATTCGAGATTAGATCTCCCTCAAAAGCAGGGCAACTTATGTTTACTTCTCCCCTACGTGTGTAACTTATACAATAATCTTGAAATTTTGCTGAGTCTGCAGACCGTTTAAATGCGTGCGGGACGCAGTGTTTGACAATGATTCAGATATCCTCTAAAGATAATACCTGTGAAACTGCTAAAGAAAGAACATAACTCATGGAATGTTAAACACAAATAACGAAACTAAAACTGCTAACAGTACATATATTCTGCAAATCATCAAAGATAAAATAAGTCAATTGGATTTTAGACGATCATATGCAATCACAGGGAGAATATAGCAGTATAGATTGATCCCTTTTCTGGAAATGAGAATAATCGCTTGGTTTAAGCTTAAAGCAATAACTAGGAGAACAGACAAAACAGGTTGTAGAAAAACTTTAAGCTTGAACATACACCAAATCTGTTACATAACAAATGCTATGATCTCAGTAAACGCCTAAGAAACATTAGAGAGGATATCTTGCAGAAAATGAAACAAAGATGCATCTGAATTTTAACCAGGGAGAGGATACCCACATCTGGAATGACATGTAAATGCATTAACTTTTTCCATTCTGTGTGAACTCATCAGCTTTAGCTCTTTCAACTCCACTTATCTCGTCTCATCTCTACAAACCTTTCATCTGGCAAATTGATCATGATAACCCACATTGTATCAGAGCAAACTTAGACAAAGATTAACCACAATGAAAAATATAATCATCAGAAATGAAGATATGAACAATAATCAAAACGATGAAACCAGTTTCTTTTTACTTCTGTGGAATGTAAAAGTAAACTTAGTAGTACAATGATCATAACTTTTTCACATTTAGTCAAAATTTAAGGCGAAGAGAAAGTTCAAGCCCATTATATCCCCAAACAAAATTAAGCACCTTGGTAGCAAAAATGCAAAATCAATGTCAAACACAATAACAGAAAACAGAAACATGGCATCAGTAGCCAATCAAATGTCATTATCACACTAAACAAAGATGATGTAACAAGTAGTGTTAGGGTCTCATCAGAATTGGGTTAGACTTGGGGGACCACTTACAGCACTATAAAGCAGAGGAAGGGTAAAGATCAACAACACTGGGCAGCCAATTCTGAAAGAATGCAACAGCATCTAGCTCTGCCGGAGACAAGCCGCCAAGGGGTGTGACAGCTATCTGTGATAAATGCCAATACCAATCATTGGTCGTTCTCATCAAATGACTGACAACCATATAAATCAATAATAGTACATACGTATCCTTCTCGGAGAGAACAGTAGTCTGTATCACCATCCTCCACTAGAATTCTTGTAACCTAGAAAGGAAAGAGTAAAATCAACAGATTACTCCATTGACACCGCTATAAATTTCTTTTCTTTTTCTTTTTTTCCTTTTAACTTTCAAAAGAATCAGGAATAAATAAATATCTGGTGTGTAATGCAATAAAAGAGTAGTGTCTTTCAAAAGGCTATTTTAATTCCGAATGTTGCCAGGTTTTCATAAAACAATAGTTCTCAATTTCTTGTAAGGTGCCCGCGTGACGGGGAAAGATCTGGGAGACAAGGATAACAGCAATGGAGCAAGCAACAATAGAGAAAGGGATCACACTTGTTTCTTAAACAGTAGATGATCTTGTGGTGCATTTTTTAAAGCTCTAGCTTCTGTACTTTCTGATGAATTAGTCTCCATAGTCATTGTGGACAATACTTTTCCTCCTTCTCGCTCAGAATTAACTTGCTTCCATCCCATTTTGACAAAACTTTTCCCTTGTCTAGTCAAACGGTATCCCTAGAAAGACCAAGATAAATCTTTTGAGGAAATTGTTAAAGAGAAAAAACAACACTTATCCTATCAGATGTAACTGATACAGACACAATGATAACAGTTCGTAAGACAAAGTATTCAAGTTTTAAGATAGTGCTCCTCAAAGGAAACTCAGGTTGAAATAGACAAACATTCAAATTTACTATGGGCAAAATGGTGGTTGAGCCAGACTCATTTTGATGGCTTGAGTAATGCTTGGCTTAGAACTTGTACAGGGAACAAAGAAAACCACAATCTAGAAAAAGCTTTATTCCATTTGTATATAAATACAATCTAACAAAATTTTATAGTACAGAAAGACAGATGAAGAGACTACTGATTCGTTCATACAGAGTAGATGACCAGTGCAGTTTGTTCATAACCACCTTGTCCATTCTTAACTATTTAATTAATAAAGAGACATGCTTCAGTTGGCCTGAAATGACTCATTTGGGCAAACTTCAGCTGTTAATAGAAATCAAAATAAAACATGAGACCAACAGTGAATAAATGAAGTAAAGCAAATCTGACTGTTGACAGGGCCAACAGGAGGCGATCACACACAAGAAAGTACATCAAAGCGAAGACCAACTTTTACATGATATTTTCACCAATGATGAAAGACAAGTGAATCCCAATATATGTATCTACCTTACAGCTTCCTTCTCTAGGTGATTCTCTATCATAAACAACAAAAACAAAGCTAGCATAAAGTTTACCTTGTGATTGATGACATCTGTTGGCACATCAATATTCAGAAAGCAATTTAGAGGATAGTTGTTTCTTTTGATTTCAGCCAATATAGCGCTGATGATGGGTAAGCAAGCTTTAGCAGCCAGTGTGAAGTCAGTAACATTGCTTTTTCCACGAACCCTGTAGTTAGCAATCCCAAGGAAATAAGGAACAATGATGTATGAAGAAAACAAACCACTGGGGCACGAAAAATGTAGAATTTCTGGAGTGCACGAGGGCCCTCAAAACCAAAACACAAGGTAATGATGCTGCTCTCTGCATGAAACACAATAACTCGAAAAGTTCACTGATGAATACCAATTATATGATACAGACACAGCAGGAATACCATTGAAGAAAGCCTCCCTAGCGCCAGCCACTGTACCCGAGTATACTCTGAACATTTCAGCAAAAGGTACAAAATTAATTCTCACAAAAACAACTACAAAATTATGAATGTCAATAATTTTTTTGTTTGATAATTTTTTTTCATTTAACATTTAATTTTGCTTGAGTTTCAATCATAGTAAACTAAATTAACTTGACAAAACACTATGCTTCAATTTTATGTTCAAGGATCATCTAAAAGAAAGTACAAAGTCAAGAAGATAATGCCAGTTGACTGTATGGATTCCCTTTGACCCAGATATACAATGTGCTCATTTTTATAATTAAAATCCATCATTGGTAAAATGCAAAATTAAAATTCCTGTGGATAATTTAGGGATGAGAAGAGCCATTTGACTAAGGTGACAAGAGCAGACTTGGAGAAGACCGGATGAGAAGAGTCATTTGAATTAAGGTTAAAGAAACCTTGGGTTTTTGGATATCATAGAGTCAAATAAATTATATAATAGATGAACCTAAAAGTGCTACATGCCCAGTATATTAGCACAAATGGTAAGCATGCCTAATCATCACTAGCTGAATCTAGAAACTGAACTGAGTACTTGTACCATTCGGCGAACCAGGAACAGTTTGCAACAAAATCGCCATGGATTAAGCAAAGCATAAAGTAAAAGAACTTATATGAGATTTCAACACATGTAATAGGGCTGGGCATAGTTTGTGGTCTTTGGGGAAAACCGAAATCCAAATTTCTCGGATATGTGATTTAATTTTTGGATTACATTTGGTGTTTGGTTTTAATTTTGGAAAAACTGGATTTTGGATTCGGGACGAAAAAAATTGGATATTCGAAAACCCGAAAATTATTATACCTTATGTTTGGCCCACCAAACCAAACATGCCCATTAGACATTAGCCCGATATTAAATTAGATCATCAGCAAAGGCCAACAGCCTACTTACGAATAGGGTTTCAACTTTCAAGTTCAACTTTGATACTAAAAATAAGTAAACTTATTGTTCTTCTCTACTTACCACCATCATTGCTTTTTGCTTTTATCATTCGTACACACAATTACCAAATTTCCTGGTGGAATGAGGAATAATTAAAGCAAAGTTCACATGAATATTTTATTTGGAGGTTCATTTTTATTTTTATCTGTGAGAAGAAAAGCCCAACGTATATGTTCAAACCAAAACCCGAAATAACCAAAACGATCAATTGGAAACCAAACTCTAAAAAATTGACCCAAACTGCACTTCTCTGGTTTGGATTGGATTGTAATTTCTTAAATTCAAAAATTGAAAATCAAAACCGAATTGCCTGACACCCATCACTAGTGGTGGCAAAATAGTTAAAAGAAAACAGTTATCCACCCATATTATCAATTATAAAATGGGTTGGATAATGAACTTTTTAAAAACAGGTCAAATATGGATAAGAATCATATTATCCACTTAAAAAATGGATAACGAATGGATAACTAATGGGTTTAACTTTTACACCTGTAAAGCCTCAAATTGGGAGTTCCTCAAGTTTGGGAGACTAGGAATTCTCCCAAAAGTGATCATATTCAAGAAGCCATGGATATCCATATTATCCGACAGCTAACCCATTTTCCACCCCTACCCATCCCTACACATTACACAATGTTGAGTGAATGTTCTTTACATTTTCATTAGATAGTTGAAACTAATAGAGAGAGGTATAAATGGGCTGGTGTTGTAACGACGAGTTAGAACATAAATAGCCCAATGTACCCGGATAATGGAATTGAAAGCAATGTATGGCAGCAAGATACTTCACCATCACCACAAAGAAACTGAATACTAGTGAAGAAAATCTACTAACATATGATAGCCGCAGTTGTCACCCATATTAACACCACTGATCACCTGAAAGAATAGATTAAGATTATTGCAAGAGTGTTCCAGACAACGAATTTTTAATTATGCAAAGTCCCAAGGCATTGATACCTAAAGACTGGCATGGGATAAATCAGTAATCAAGTGATAACGGAGACGGAAAACTAAGTATTTGCAATTTGGAAAATCAAACTGCATACTGCCAATAAGAAACTCTAAGATGACATGAGGAGGAAGAGGGAAGCACTAACTTAAAAAGGCAACTTAAACATATAAACGAGGGGAAAGAGAGAGCTTTGGTGTGCATGTCATGCATATTAATGATTTATATTCTTTTCTTTTCCAAACAGAAATGTGAATAAAGAAATATTATCTTGGTTTAGGAAAGTTGTACTACCAGATCAGGCACTGAAGGGAAAAGAGCTTTGGAGATTCCCAAGGAAGTACAATCTGCTGGAGTTCCTGCTAGAAAGAAGAAATCGAAAAGGAAAGCAAAGTCAACATTCTCATCTTCTATTACTTCAAAAGCGAGATCTTGAAGCATGAAAGCTCGGAAAATATCAATATATCATGTTCTTGGTTGTAATTGATTGAGCATTTCTGGACCAATATCCCATGACATATGCTAGCTGTTAGTAAAATTTTAAAAGAACTTCCCAAGAAAAGATCCACAGTTCTAAGTTACAACTAATCTTTAACTAGATTGCTCTTAATTTTAAGTTAAAAGCTTAAGTTCATCTGTATTCATCTATTCAAATAGAAAATCATTAGAATGCTAAATTATGTGGCACAATCTCACAAAACTCAGGTTTTCAAGAAAGGAGAGACTTCCTCCTTTATTTGTTTGTTCAATTTCCAGAGTAGTTTGGTATTGAGGTGGGACTTGTATATTCAATTACGTGTACCAAGAATATGATCGCACTATTAATATAACAAAGGGCTGTGAGAGTGTGAGGCATTGATATTAGAGTTAGTAATCCAATAAACTTAAAGTCAAGTACCATAGTTCAGTCCAGAACTCTAAATTATTTATTTGTTGAAGATTGCAACAGACTTGAAACTGAAAAGGCTGTTGCTAGTTCAGTCCAGAACTCTAAATTATTTATTTGTTGAAGATTGCAACAGACCTGAAACTGAAAAGGCTGTTGCTCCGCTAATGTCCACTTGCTTAACAGAAAGGGCATGACGCCATGTAATGCTATGACTAACAGCTGACTTTTCTCTGAAAGTAGTTATAAGCACATAACCAATAGCAGAAGTCTTAATCTATTATGTAATTTTGCAAGTGATAGATGTGGAAAAAATTGCAATATATAAGAGCATAAGTAAGTAACCAAAAGTCAGTTAATTCCTAACTTTAAGATTATTCAACAGTGAAGCTGGACATCAAGAATTTTTGCAAGCTTCATCTCTGAACTTAACATTATAATAACTTAAAACATTAAACAATGCAATCTAACAAATATTGGGACAACTAGAAAGATAGCATACATAGGGAAAACAATATTGACAGGAAAATAAATATCTTAGATTCACAATTGCATCATTAAGCAATGATAAAGACACTGCCTTTTGCAGAAGTGGCAGGAGAAAATCAAAAGGTAAACATGTTATCAATGACCAAAACATAGAACAGTCAAAAAATCACCCAAGGTTTCATTCTTCTCCGATTAATGGTGTACTGCTTAGCAAGTGATTCAGTAGACTTGGGTCACTTGCAGTCTGCCAATGCAGTAAAGGGCTACTTTTTCCCCCATTCCCACCCTCATTTTTTAATTCAAAATTAGAGGAGATCCTCAAAATAGAGAGAGAAAGAAAAGCAAATATTCCTTATCGCTTGTGAAGCACAGGAAGAAGCAAAGAAAATGAGATATTTATAGTTAACGTAGTGCTAATGAACAATTCACTTACCGTTTTAAAAGGGAAAAAGAAAAGGAAGAAGATGTTCATAAGCAAATCCACATGGAGACAAATAGGTTCATGGAATGAGCCAACCATGTAAAGAACAACAAGCAGATCTTACTCCAAACTTTTATTTGCCAGAAATAACATCTATTAGCTAATTAGCAAATTTAAGTTCATCAATACTGCTGAAGTGAAACAATACATGTTCAACTCCAACCTTCCTTTGCAAAATCATAAAAGATTCACACTATGCTAGACTCCGATATGTAAGATGTACTAAGCATCATATCAGTCTCAGGTATATAACGTGTTAATACTTAATATCATGCAACATGTTCAAATAAAAAATAACAGCAACATGAAAAATTTATCAATCTCTACATGAAAGCCAAAGCATTGAGTAAAAACTGATTTCCTATAGAAAGACATGACCAAAGTAGTAAACGAGAGCAGTCAAGCGATTGAAACTCAAATAACCGAGAGAGATCATCGATCATACAAATTTGTTACCTGCCTGTCTCATATAATCCCTTTTTCATTCAGGGATGTTGCAAAACAATGTTCACTTTAATCATTAAGCAGCACAATTTCACATAGACCCCAATTTTAGACTATCAAAAACTAATAAATGCTTTGCAATCTCCCCTAGGGCTTTGGTCCAATGTTAAGAGTGTAGTGCATGATGCATGGGTTAGGCGCATGCCATGGATTAAGCCTACCACAAACAAAAGCCTGGTATTTAAATAGTGAAGGGTAGAGGGAGGGGAACATTATTCACCGAGTTCCAAACAATGCACCACTGGCCGTGGGGATTTCTCAATTATAGATATATTTTCTTTGCATTCTTCACTTCTTAACCACAAAAAAGTAAGTACCACCGTCATTTATCATTAGATCAATATTTACACACCTACTTCTAAAACCACCTTTAATAAATTATGCCATGGCATGTTTAAAGACGAATCTAGGATTTAGAGTTAATAGGTTCAAAATATGTATGATCTTATTATACCACATGTATACATTATAATTTGTTGCATATGTATGCATAATTCGAGCTGAAAGCAGGTTCAACTGCAAAAAACGACCTAGACCACTCCTGCGTTGAAAACACTATATTTCGGATTATTGGAGTGGTAGAACTCCCTACACGCCAGTAAGAGTTTGTATTTCCAATAAAAGTTATAAAAAGTCTTTTTTTCCAACACATTTAAGAATAAAATATACTTTTTCTATTTACCTAGTTTAACCACCCATACCGCCCAAAATAAGGAAAGTTAACCTCAAGCATTATTCAACAAATCATTGTAATATATATAAGCAACCGAACTAAGTAGAACAGAGAAGTCGCTACATTTAAACAGTTACAGAAATTTAACTAATAATAGTTGTACATACTAACATAAAACGTGCAAATTCACAATGAATTTGTAAGGAGAGTGCTTGAGTGAGTGATCATACGAGTCAGGAGCACAAACAAGGACGTGAAAGCGATTGGTAGAAACAAGCACATTAACTAGAGCTCTTAATCCCGGCGCGTCGATTCCGTCGTCGTTCGTCACCATCAGCGTCGGCCGATCGCCGTCGACGAAGTTATCCTCCATTTCGCTTCTCGAAGTTTTCCGTTCAGTGAAAATCTTCGCAATTTTTTTTCTTCCCCGTTTGGCAATGGATTTTATTTCATTTTAAACTTTAATTTGAAAGATTATTTACAACTGAATAGTATTTGTTTTACAATTTAGTCCTTTTTCTAATACCAACTTAATAGAGGATTTGAATTTTGAAAAAATAATTAAAATAGTATTACAAGTAAAATAACTAATTTATTAATAAAAATTTCAACTTTTTTTCAAAATAAAAACATAACCAAAATCAACTGAATCTCAAATAAAATATATATGTATATATGAATTAGTTTCCTTTTTAGTCCGTTGGAAAAATATAATATTTTAACTTTGAAAAGAATTTAACTTAAACTTCTTATTTTAACCTTAATAATAAGTTTAATGGTCACACTAATGCAAAAATATGGACTATACAAAATCTCATCATACATAGCACATGACACACCAATGACGATGTCATTCCGAGTCTCAAACCAAAGAAAGTATATTCACATAGCCAAGAGATATTAAGCATTAAGCACAAAAACATAAGTCAAAAAAAAGAGACATAGGTGTCACAAAATATGTTATCCAATCCATAAAGGCATCATTAAAAAATTAACACATAGGGAAGGTATTACATATACCAAGACATAAATATACTACTATCAAACAAGACAAAGGCATCTAGGAATGTCATCACTCTACTTCCATTTTATTCCTTACATCCTACTCTACTAAAAACAAGTCCACCAAGTTCAAACTACATCTCACGGAAAAAAAACGAGACACAAAAAAAAATCATGAAAAATTATTACTACATAGAGAAAACATGTGTTTTTATGTTTTTATTTAGACTCTATTTCCCTCAAGAAAATTTTCCAGAGGTCCATCATCGGAAAGAATCCAATCTTTTTCCTGTTTTTTTACGATTTTTCTTATTATTATTTTTAATAAGCTGCCAAACTACTATTAGAGTACTACACTACTAGCTTTACGAATTATGAAACCAAACTAAAATCATAAGCTAGCTAAAAATAAAAAATAAGAAAATAACATTATACTAATATAATAAAAAGCTAATTATTCAATGATATTCTCCCTCCCCAAAAGACCAAAGGACGAAACAATAGTAGCTTACATGGTATGGTACTCAGACTTTTCTCAGGCATGCCCCTGTGCAGATACTCCATACTTAGTTCTACCCATCTAGCTCGCTTTTGCACATATCTCATGGGCTTACTTCTCATGCTCATAACCCTACGAAACAAAAACAAACACTATAAAAATAGCACAATTATAAAATGAAAATAAAAACAATAAAACTAGGTTGTCTCCCAATAAGCGTTTGATTTATAGTTGCAATTGAAAATCATAAATTTTCAAAGTCTTATAACCAAATAAATATTGTCATATTTAAGACCATATAAAATTTCATACCCAATAAAATAGGTTCACATAAATTGAAATAAATGGAGTATTAATTTTCAACTTTAAATTCAAAAACTCTTTTTTTCCTTTTCAATTTAAACCAAATATTTCGGCTACATTTTGATGAATTTTAAAATGATAAATACTTACACGCACCTGATGTTACGTCAAACCAAATAGTTTAACCATGAAAGTTACAAATTAAAGCGCATATGCAAATCTCTTAACCATGATTAACTAATAAATAATTTATATGCAAGGTAAGTGTCATATATTTATTTGCTTGGTGTAAACATCAAGTGCATGTAAATTGTTACCTTTTAAAACCTTCAAGAGTACTGAATTAGATATTTGCTAGTTAATATGGCTCGTACTAATATCAAGTTATTTCAGACTTCATATGTAAGTTATTGACTTTGGTTAATTACTCCTAGGCAACAATAATATCGGAAAAATTATTGATCCTTCTATCTCAGAGTAAATCGGAAAAATAATTTTATTTTTCATATGTCAATGGAATTATTTCAAGTGGTTAGACATATATTGAGTAAGCTTGAATTTATTATGAATCAGAAAGAGAGAAAAAATAAATAAATGTTCATTTAATCTTGCGTCTTGTATTAAACTTCACTATTTAAATTGTAAAGGTGTATTAAACTTCACTATTTAAATTGAAAAGGGGCATTATGTACAAATAGTAATATTCTCAATATATCTTGGAATTGAATTTTTGTCTGCAATGTAGGTTTGAGTGAAAAAAAGAAAAGAAAAAATAGGAGCGTATATTATAAGACTAAGATGAGAATTTAAAAAATGAAAGAGCTAAACTTCATTAATGACCCTACAAGTATTTATATACAAATTACACGTATGTAACTAACTATCAGCTTACACTATCTAACCACTACTCTAACCACCTAACTAATAATCTGTTTGACCAAGCTTATAAAAAGTGTTCAAAATGTATTTTTCTTAAAAATATTTTTCAAGAAAAGCTTTAAGAAGAAGTTACTTTTTTCTGCTTCTCAAAAATTGTTAGTCAAAAATATTTTTTTTTCTTCTAAAAGCTTGATCAAACACTTTTATTAAAAAAATTATTTTAAAAAAATACTTTTGCTCTTGGAGAAGCTTGGTTAAACAAGCTATAACTTAACAATAATTAGCTAGTCAACTTCTAAACTAGCTCCAGTTAATTCTTAACTCAAGTTCACTTAACCTCAGGGGTAACATCATTCTCAACATTTTAAAGTGTAATTTTAATTTTTACGTAACTCTGATTTTCCATAATCTTGAGCTTCATTCACCTCAATTTTTGTTAAAAAAGGATGTGATGGGTGGAAGAGATTGGACCTAACAAAATGGCTCTATCAATATTAAGGTCAAATTCTTGATTTGATTTGGCAACAATTATCAAATAAAAAAAATCAGATAATATTGGCCGCAATTTTCTGGTCCCGATATTATCAAAACCGATATTGGCCGATTATTTTCCAACAAGCTTCTATTTTTTCGGTCAGCTTTCAACCTCTTTCATTCATCTCTCTCATCCCAATCCATCATCTCTTTCAGTATTACTTGGCCAAATATCATCACGGATGGCTTACAAACTCTTCCATCAAATTGAAACTCCAAGATTCAAAGATCCTTTTGGTTGGCGTGAAGAGGCGGCAGTGAGCTGCATCAGTTTTCTGATGAGGTGAAAGAGGAAAGAAAAGAAAGATAGTGAATAAAATAAGAAGAAAAGATAACTAAAAAAGAAAAGATTAATTAATTTTACATGGGGCAAGTAAAAATTGGTCCGTAATTTACACTTCTTTTTTGAAAGTGGGATTGATTTTAAAAGGTATTATTTATTACATTTCAAACACAACCAGGAGGTTCATAGGACCCCTCGTAAAGATAAATAATGTATTTGGCAAAATCGCTCATCGCCAGGGGTAATTATGTATTTTACCTTAACTAAAATGGTTAGCATACACCAGGCACAAAAATAACCTATTTGGCCAAGCTTTTTTTTGACCAAAAGTGCTTTTGGCAAAAAATTGAAGTGTTTGGCCAAATTTTTAAAATGAAAAAGAAGTTGAAGCAATTTTTAAAATGAAGAAGTTTTCAAAAACTTGGCCAAACAGTAATTACTGCTCAAAAGTGTTTTTCAAATTAATTAGTCAAACTCAAATCGATTCTCGCCAAAAAAGTATTTTTGAAAAGCATTTATGAAAAAAAAACTTCTCAAAATAAGTAGATTTTAGAACTTGGCCATGCTAAAATAATGTTAACAGTAACGTAAAAATTTTAAAAATAAAACAAATTGGATGAACTTTATCAATTAAAAAAAGCTAATCTTTTATCACCAAAATCTCTCTAACACGGACATCATCTCAACAATAGAAACAGAAATAAGTATTCCAACCTAAATGGAACCCGAAAATTTCTGTAACTTCTCGCAACAGGAAAAATCATGTCAAACAATTTGGCATTCCCTCCTCAATATTTGTCACGACCCTAACCCGAATTCGATCGTGATGGTACCTCTCATGAAGATAAGGTCAGCCGACACTTTCCTTTTTTCCAATTATTAACAGTTAAGCATTTAAAAACGGTCTAAATATAATAAAATAAATCCGAAATAACAATGATAACATAAATACGCGAAGAACACCCATACACAGTCCTAACCGAGGTGTCACCTAGTCATGAGCATCTATAAGTCATAATACAATTCCGCTAAGTCAATAAACTAGTACAACTGTCTGAAAAGAGATAGAAGTGATAAAGGAGTAGAGACACGGGGCTGCAGACGCCAAGCAGCTACCTCGTGAACTCTGAATGTCCGCCTGAAGCTGGAAGGATCAGCACTCGGGAGCGGAACCAGCTACGCCTGAATCTGCATACAGGGGTGCAGGGAGTAAAGTGAGTACTCCTTTGAGCACCTAATTTTTGATAATATTTAATTTTTAATCACTTCTTCTATGTAAATATTTTAGGGGTTTTAACCTACAATTTTTAGCTTTGTTACACTTTTTATTATAGGGTAAAAATACAAAATTTAAAAGGTGAATTATTACTATTAATATTATTTTATTTTTATTTTAAAAAAATTCCGAAAAAATATTAATTTTTTTTTAATTTTCAGGAGTGATTTAAAAATAAGAAAAAGGGAAGTATTGAATAAAAAAAAGTAAAAGTAGGTGGAATTCTCTTTTAAAAAGTAAAAGAAAATAGAAAATTAAAACAATAAAAGTAAAGTTTTGTGGAAATTTTAAAAAAATAAAAATTAAAACAAAGTTGGAATTAAAAAACAAATATAAAGGTATCTGAAAATTAAAAAAAAATAAAGTAAAAGAAAGTAGCATTTTTAAAAGAAAAGCAAAAGAAAGTGCATTGTTTTTTTAAGAAAAGTTAAATAAGTGGAATTCTCTTTTAAAAAGTAAAAAAAGTGGGATTTTAAATAAGATAAAAGTAATTAAAGTTGGAATTTAAAAAATAAAAGTAAAGAAAGGTGGGATTTCGTTTTATAAAAAAAATAAAAGCAATTTGTAAGTGGGATTTCTTTTAATAAAAAAATAATAAAATAATAAATATTTTTAAAAAACAAATCTCGAAAATTTTGC